AAACTGAATTATGTTTTTTATTTCATTGAGTTTGCAGCCTCTGATGATATATTATAGATGTCTTGGCCTAACAAGCAAAATGATTGGGATTTACAAAATTCCTTTGTTTCCAATATCACATGTTGGAGAATATTACTGTATTTGAGGCCATAAAATGATCACCTGAATTGAATTTCTCTTTAATAGAAGAACTGGAATCACTAACACTGAATTACATAGACCATATTAGTACTAAGTAAATTAATAACTCAATTTACTTGGCTTTTCTACTTTTTTTTCTTATTCTATATAAGAAAGTTACACAAATTTGCAAATTGAAGAAAATATAAAATGAAAGATATTTTAGCTCTAAATGAGTTGAGGAACTAAATCTTCACCTAGAAACCATTAAACTAGTAGAATTAAAAACGGGAAGCACTATCCAAGATATAGGAATTGGTAAACACTTCTTAGGAAAGTCACCAAAAGTACAGGCAGTCAAAGCCAAAACAAACAAATGAGACCACATCAAACTAAGACGTTTTTGTACAGAAAGGAAATGATCAAGCAAAGAAAAAACCAACAGAATTAAAGAAAATCTTCACACATTATACAATAGATAGGGGACTAATGTCCAGGAATTACAATGAGCTTCAGACACTGAATGACAGCAAAATGGGCAAAGAAATGAACAGATATTTTTCAAAAGAACAAATTCAAATGGCTAATAGATGTACAAAAAAAATGTTCCAGCTCCCAAGCTATCAGAGAAATACAAATAAAAAACACATTAAGGTTCCATCTAACTCTAGTAGAAATATACTAATTCAGAAATATACTAATAATATCTGCTGGTATAGATGTAAGGGAGAAGGTACACCGTTCAACTGCTGGTGGGAGTGTAAGCTAGTGCAGAAACTACAAAATACAGTATGGAGAATGGTAAGACAACTGAAAATTTATCTACCATATGACCTACCTATCCCACTCTTGAGAATTTATCCAAAGGAAGTAAAATTTGCATGTGAGAAAACGACCTGCAATCCCATATTTATAGAAGCACAATCCACAATACAGAAGACATGGGAAAAATCCAGATTTCCATTGAAAGAGGAATGCATAACAAACTGGTACATCAACTCCATGGAATACTACTTACCCATTAAAAAGAAGGAAATTCCCCCATTTGCAACAAAATGGTTCCAACTGCAGACCATTATGTTTGGGGAAATAAGCCAGTCCCAATAGGACAAATATCATACGTTCCCTCTGATGCAATGCAGCATTCATACAAAATATAAAATAAATAAATCTCTAGGTAAACAAGTATATGTGGATGTATGTGTGTGTGTGTGTGTTTCTCATAGATGAACTTTATAATGGAGGCTAGCATACCTGGAAATGAAGACACTTTGCAGAACGCATTTCTATGTCCAGATGAAGTTACTTAGACCTTGATAATATGATTCTAGATTTTTACCCTTTCTCTACACCTATAATTCCATGGTACATGCAGGTAACAGAATGCTGAACTTACAACTCTTGCTGCAGGCCTACACTGCTGTAATGATATGGGAATGATTAGTGGAAGGGAAAATTGAGGAGGGAGAGGAGTGAGTGAAAGGGGGGAATCCTTTATTTACAAAACGGCATGATGGAAAAATAATAAAAATTAAAGAAATAGGCCCTTAAAAATAAATAAAATAATAGTATATGTGGAAAACTTAGAAGCTAATTTTGTCATTCAAAACAGTAATTATAACTTTTGACATAATCACATTCTCACCAACTGTATCCAACACGCAAACTCAACAAGGTAAAATAAAAACCTATTTAAATGTCACACATGCATAAACACAAAGCTGGTTACAATTTAAAAAATCAAATTACTAAAATTGTTTGCTTTTTGAAATTACAAATTCCCATCAAAACTAGTTTCCTGAATAGAGTTATCTGAGAAAGCAGCATGTAAATAGTAGCATTTATTCCCACCAGATGTCCACTATTGCACAAATTATTTTTTAAAAAATTAAAATGCCTTTCTCTTAAAAATTTCTTCAAAAGAAACTTTAGCTAAAACTGCAAAAATGGAGACCTTGAAATCTACCCATTCCATTGGTACTTAACACAGAAAACTCAAACGGTCAGGGAGTTATTTTACTTGTACTGCAAATGTACTGATGGATCATTTGATTTCAAAGAGAAACTTGATTGGAACACTATATATTCCCACCCTTAAAACATAATATTATTGTGTCAGACACACCACAAATATAAAAGGTAATAATTTCTTACCATTCTTTGGTCTATCAATTCTATTAGTAACAGTCATGTTAGTGATGGCAATGGGTGATGTAGTACTAGGAGAGTTTACAGTAGCTGCTAATAAAGATAAGAAAGATATAATTTTGCAAGGAGTACAGGAAGGTTAATATGGAAGACTAAGCTATAATTATTGCATGAAAATACACAAGGGAAGAATAAAAACATTTTGACAGTAACAACAGACTGCAAGGTTATAATGCATGAAAGCAAAGCAATGTGTTCCATGGCACATTAAGAATCAGATCATATGACCTTTGGTGTCATGTGTCATTTTGCACTTGCGCAATGAAAGTCGAGAAATGACAGATTGGAGGCTTAGATCTGTCATTAACAGGTTGATGGTTGCCTAACATGTTAGTAAACTTTTCTATATCTCCATTTCTGAACTTGTCAGTGGATAACGTTTTCGTGTGTAGTCTTTACAGACCTTTAGAATGCATGTTACAAAACTGAAACTAGAGAAATAAAATCTCTTAAGTAAAAAAAAAAAAAACTAAAAAAATGAAGAACATAGATTTCATCAATCAATTACAGGCTCTAATCACTGAATGTTAGAGGAAAATGTATTTCCCAGGGGCAAGTCTTACACAGGAGAGACATTTTCCGAGCATTATAACTCTGACACTACTAAAACCTCAGAAGATTAAACCTTTATGCAAAACTTTGATGCTGCAGGAGCTGAGGAATAAAATAAGCATCACACAAAATTTTACCTTTTATGAGGATACGCTTGTGTTCCATGGGCAGTCAAACGCAGCAATGCCCATATGTATGTATATACGTATCTTTAAAATTACCTAAATATAAGCCATGTCAAGATGATCATTAAAAGAATTAACCTTCCAAAAAGCCCTTAATAAAATAGTTTCTTGATTTAAAATAGTACCATTTAAAACCAAAATAACTTTCCATTACAAAGTATATAACACTTAGTAATAAGAATTCTTTAAGAAGAAATAGAAATTCTTTTTGAATGGCTTTTTAATTATGAACAATCAGTTATACGATGAAAATGGAATTTTGGTCATTTAGAATACAAGAACAAAACCTGAGAAAGCTGGGTTTCTGATTCTTTGAGTCAAAGAATCAACACCATAGTTATCTCAGATTAAATGAAAAACAAAAAAACTTTCCAATTTTATACCTGCAGATCTTGATCTAAATAAAATTAGTTTTCTTTTTCATTTCATATAACTTTTAAAACTACTGAGTTCGTAGAAAGAAACTAAGATTGTAGTTTTCATTCAGGATTGATAATAATTTCAAAGACATAACATTCCTAAAGGGAAAGGGAAGGTACACTAATGAAATACACTCCCTTTGCCTGCCTGTTCTGATCCCACACTGGAACCACAGGATTTACACTCATTAACTCTAACTTCTTAGCCTTTCACCTTTGCACACAAAATGCAGGCTTTACATAAGGTATGGCTGTGATTCTTAATGTGATACATAGAATGTATTACCTTGCATCCAACAGGACAAATGGATGAAAACAGATTTGGAGTAGTTAGAAGGAGCAATGATAAAATTAAATCAAGATATATTATTGTTTTAAACTCACTTGGTGTATTACTTAGCATGCAAGTATACCTAATATACAATACATAATTAGAATACTGACATAATATATTCACAAAGCACCAACACAGTTAAGCATTTTTCCCTTATGAGTTAGGTTATATAACATCATAAATTGACTCATGGTCTTAACTAAATATTTAACTTGACTTCTTCCTTGCTTTATAAATACAAATATTTCTTCAAAATAATGTATGGTTATATTTGTATTGTGTCTCTACAATATTCTTCAGAAGAAAAAAGAGAAATGAAAAAGAAAAATTAATGCTTTTTAATTGCATATAATAACTTACAATTGAAAAAAAAACAAAAACAAAACAAAACTCCATGCTGGGGTCACAGCTATGGTGTAGTGAATTAAACTACTGCCTTCATTTCCAGCATCCCACACGGGCACTGGCTTGGGTCCCAGCCACTCCACACCAATTCCAGCTTTTTGCTAATGCACCTGAGAAAGTAATAGAGGATGGCCCAAATCCTTGGGCACTGATGTTCACATAGGAGACTAGCACATTCCTTGTTCCTGGCTTCAAGCTATTATGGCCATTTGGGGAGTAGGCAGTAGATGGAAGATTTCTCTCTTTCTTTCCATCCCCATTTCTCTGTGTAACTGGGGAAGGAAAAGAAAGGAGAGCGGATGGAGGGATGGAGGGATGGAGGGATGGAGGGATGGAGAGATGGAGGGAAGGGAAGGGAAGGGAAGGGAAGGGAAGGGAAGGGAAGGGAAGGGAAGGGAAGGGAAGGGAAGGGAAGGGAAGGGAAGGGAAGGGAAGGGAAGGGAAGGGAAGGGAAGGGAAGGGAAGGGAAGGGAAGGGAAGGGAAGGGAAGGGAAGGGAAGGGAAGGGAAGGGAAGGGAAGGGAAGGGAAGGGAAGGGGAAAACATCACGGAGCCTTATACAAATGATCTCATCTGGTGTGTGAACACACTCATTCTTCACTCTTGTATGCACTACACACCAATGCAACTAAAACACGGGCAGAATTTATTGCTTTGTTGGTTTCTGATTTCCTAGTGAAATATTAAGATGAACAACAAAGCAATGACAATGTCATTATTCAAGGAAGAAGTACAAATCAGAATAGCTCAAGAGAGTAATGTTTTGTGGGTTTCCTACCTTGACAGAGAGTCCCCAGGTCGGCACAGGCGGCAAGTTCTGGTGCTGGGAGTGGCACCAAGTAAGAACCTTTGATAACACAAAGAGAATACATTAGTTTAACTTAATTAATTCTATTCATTGATATCATCCAGAAAAAAATCAAGAACCATATAGTTGGTATAATTTGAACCATATAGTTGATATAATATGAATTAGAAGACTCCTACAGGAATACTCCAATAGGAAGAAATTCTTTTAAGGTTTCCCAAGTAAAGAATCATGTTAGTGACACTGCCTTCAAAGTCTGAATTATTAGCAACTCACATAAAATGTAAAGAAGAGCTACTGCTTTTAGGATTTGTGTAAAAAGATCAAGGCCTTTTGTATAATAAATTATAGAGCCTGGGTAGAAATTCATACAAATGTAATATTAACAAGAAGAATTATTCAAAAATGAATTTGATATTATGAGCCACTCATAAAATGCATATTTTGGGTTCACAGGTAGTAACACATGGTATTTGTAATTCTAGGAACATGTGTCTGTGACTTCAAGTTAGGAACTGAGTCTTTTTATTTAAAATTTTTCCTGACCATCCTTGGTAGGAAACAAGTTTTGAGCTGATTTGTCAGTGGAAGTACAGGATTTTCTGCATTCAATCAATCTTTTTTGGCAATTAACAGTTCTTCTAACAAGATGAACCTGGAGAAGACGGGCTACTTTGACTATGGCAAAGTATAATTCACCATGAATAAAGATAAGAGAATACATGCAAATATACATACATATATGTATGTATACAGTTATGAGGTGTTCAAAAAGTACATGAATATGCACGTTACAAAAACTATGTATGGATTTCAAACATTTGGGCCCCAAAGTAAACATATTTTACTTCAATTTTCCATGGATTTATTTAAGTGTTTTCCTGCATATGTATGTGTATACTACCAAAAGTCATAAACACACACACATATACATGATACATATTATTTGCCTGCTTTTATTTTTCCATGCTAGTAATTTCATTCTAATTCTAAATTTTCCCATGGGAATAACATCATGTATAGGCAGGACCAGGATATAAGGTAACCCTAGATGCCTATATAGTTAAAGAGTGTGCGTAAGAAGAGATTATCTCACATTTTCAAAATATCCCTTAGGCACCAAAAAAGGCACATGCTAAAAGACCCAACCCCATAGCCATGTCTGAGGGGTGACATTAATTTGCAAGAATCTCTCACCACAAACATTTACAAACTCGCATTGCAAACATTTACTCATTCCCTACAAAGTGAGAGGCAAAAGTGCAGAATAATGCCTGAAGCAATGTCATGGCTGAAAGCCAGCCATGCATGGGAACTGGCTTTAGAGTTCTGAGTGCTGCAGGGCAAGAGTTTTGACGTTGCTGTAGTCCAAAGGGGGCCAGGACAGCAGTCAGATGAGAAGAGTCAACAGGAAGTCCATTCCAAAGAAGGAGACTCATGAGGCATGTGATGCCATAGGATCTAGGGTAGCAGAATAGAGATGGATATTATCGGCAGACCATTTCTAAACCATGCCATACTAAGTAGACGCTGAAGAGGTCTTGGGACCCAAATGATGTGGCATTTCTTGGTAGGGCACCTGTAAGCAATAGGTAATCAGTTGCCTGTAGAGGGCTTGTTAAAATGAACACCAATGAGAAAAGGGGCCTTGTGGGTTTTTTTTTCTATCAGTGAATTCCATAATCAGTGAGTAGGTGCTCATACATAACTGAAAAATTAATTAACACAGTAGGAATGACTGTAAAATATTGAATTTTTAAGAGAAATTAGGGGGAAATGAATATCATTGCAGTGCCAGCATTCATATGGGTGCTGGGTCATATCCCTGCTGCTACTCTTCTTATCCAGCTCCCTGTGGCCTGCAAGTGACCCAAATGATTAGGCTCCTGCCACCTACATGCGAAGCTGGATGAAACCACCATCTTCAACCTGGTCCAGCCCTGGGCAAGGCAATCATCTGCAGTCAGAAACAGGGATGGAAAGTCTCTCTTTCTCTCTCCTGTTTCTCACCCAGTCCTTCCTTCTCTCTTTGTGTTGCTATTCTAAACACATCTTTAAATCTTTTTAAAAATTTTGAAGCTAGAGTATATAGGTTTTTTAATAAATAGGACGTGGGGAAAAAAGGGAAGAACTGAGGACATTCCACTAGTTTTCAGCTTGAGAAATTGGTACATAATGATTACATAAAAGGAGTTTAGGAAGTACTAGGGGAAGAATATCGTAAGAGGAGTGGAAGAAACATTCCATGCAGTAATGAAAACAGACCCCATGTAACATCTATATATATGGAAAATTGAGTGTGTGTTTGTAAGAGATCTTGCCAGGAAATACTCGGTAGAAGCTGTGGGTGTGAATACAGGCAGTATACCCAGACTGTTAGTTTGAGGGGCAAATAGGAGATAACCATAATTATGTCTATATTTAAATATCAAATATGAATAAAAGAGCTACAGGTGTGAGGTAAAGACAGTCTTACAGAAGACACTTTCAGAAGCTGGATTTGCAGAGTTGAAGTGAATAAGATTAATAGAGGATGTGACAATATCAAGTGCACCAGCAGGAATGATAAAGATTGAGAAGACCTTTAACTTTGTATTGTAATTGTGTTAGTGGCTCCAAAGAAATTAGTTTCAGCAGCGTGGGAACAGCGAAATCCAAACTACCCGGGTTTGAGGATTGAATGCCAAAAGAGGAAGCTTGGCTGTGAAAGAAAGCAGAGATAGGAAAAGAGGGTTTGGAAGCCTGAAAACTTAAGAAAGTGTGCTATGGAAAAAGAGCAATTGAGGAAGCAGATGTTGAGACAGAACTGAGAGGACTTTTATCATGAATGCTTTCTGCACATTATTCCTCCCGTGATAATGACTGCTCAGTTATTTTAAGGTTCCACTACTTCCACAGTGCCCTTATATTTTAGAAAGGGATTTCTGAAAACTACCAGGTCTTTAAAACTCATTGTGACTGATGTAATCTTAGTGTAACACTTCACAGAGGAGGCCCTTGGACGGAGTTCCTGTGGTTCTCAAATCACACACAATGCTGGCAGTCAAAGGCTCCTTAGGCCACTGCTGGCACAGATACAGTATCTCTAGAAGACAAAGATAAGAGGACAGCCTTGTGGGAAAGAACTGTTTGGGCCAACTGAATTTGCACTACAGTATATAAAAAGATGTTAGAGCTGCGAAAAGGAAAGCAAATCAAAAGAACTAGGATTTAGGATAGGATATTTAACAATGTTCTTGAACATTTCACGGTTTTATTGTGCAACAAGTATGAATTTCAAAGTGTGGCATCATTGCACTGGAAACTGTAATACTTGCTTCTCAATATTTTAAGTAACTTTTCCTTTGGGAGAATTTCTAGTTTCAGCAAATTAACATTGCTTCATGAGTACTCAAACTTTATTCTATGATGATCTAATGCAACAACAGAATTTACATTTGAAGATTATTTTGGCAAAAATGATTTAAATACAAGAGGCAAGTTTATTAGAAGGACATTAAAAAGACCTTCCTTTAAAAATCTACCAAATTTCAGAAACAAATATAAGAAATATAAAAAGCGTACACAAAAGTTTTAAGAGGATCCAGTTCTATTTCTTGCATATAAAAAGGCAATCTAATGATCAATTTTCCTAGGCTGATGGGTTTACAAACCAGTACAATACAAGAAAGACACATTCCTCTGTGCTGAATCTGTGACCTGCCATGCTGTTCTGATTGTTCTTAGATTGTGTCCATTCTGCATTGATTTGTCAAACTACCAGAAAAGTACTTACACTCAATATTATTAATAAATTTAGACCTAATTTCTCCGGAAAAAAAAAATGAATTCACTGAAAGCATGCAGTTTGACAGAAAGCTGTAAGATGATTACTTTCTTCTCTATATTATTATTCAGTGAAAATCGTTACTGAAAAGTCACTAAAAACTTACAAACGGGCTAAAAAAGACTGATATACAGACATCAAATCTTCTTGTACCTCACTTAATGATATATCAAATAATAATCATACAGTGAATCTGCATAAGTTGTAAAACAGGGAAAAATAAAATTTTTAATGCTTACAATTCTTATTCATAAACATATATTTAACAGAAAAATTATTTGAGGCCATAATACTCATAAAATATTGAGCATCCTGAAAACATAAAGTCTTTTGTAAAAATGTTATTTTTTCCTAAAAATGAGCTCTCAATCTAAAAATGCCGATAGCAAGTAATTCATTAGTGATGGAAGGAAGGGAATAAAAAACAATTCATTTTTTGCTTAGAGGACATAAATAATTAAAATGAGAGTGTGAATCCAAGATTGGGTAAAGTAGTAGACACCAGGTGTAAAACTTTGGAAATTAAAACCAAAACTGGCACAAATTCAGATATTTCCTGAAAAGATCATAGCTGGATACTTGTAAGTTGTGTCTTACCTCTATACTCGCAGTGACTAACAAATGGAAGTGCTCAATAAATGCTTGTTACATAAATGTGACTAAAATGAACTTGGGCTATTCATTGAGTGATACTGTACCACTCCTCAGGAAAGAGCATTAATCAGTAAAATAAACAAAACTAGTAGAGAAGGCACTGTCTGTTCTTTGTGAAAACTGATGGATGTTAGCCAGTACCTAATGTGAATCATAACACAAGCAAATACTAGCACCTATAATTAAAATGTCCACTAAGGAAATCAATCTATCCATGGAGGTCATAAAACTGTCCTAAAAAAATAAAGATGGTATTAAACCTAAAAAAAAAAAGATTATAGCTAAATATGCCATTTCTCCCTAAGCATGATTTCTAAAGACCTACAAATTGCAGGGGAAATTAAAATTTTAATTCTGAAACTGCTGCAATGTTCACTTACATTGATTTTATTGAGATTTGAGTATTTTGTATGTGAAAAAGATGACAGGATGTTTTAATGTTAATTGCAGTCAGTCTTATTATTTTACTTTTGTGTGAAAATTGATTTAGCAATGCATCTTTAAAAAAAAGCCATTTATACTCCATCACTAATTTCTCCCAGAAGGTACAATTAACTTACACAGCCTGTCCAATGGAATGTTAGGAATGAATTCCATTTTCACACTGGTTTTTGAACTAATAATTAGTTTGTTAGAAATTATGATAACCATAAATAAGCAGCAAGACACAATGTTTTCCAGAAAAAAAAAAAAGTTTAAAATATCAATTGAGCACACTCACTGAAGTTTTGTTTCATTAAGTAGCCTAGATATAAAATCTGTTACAGGTATTTCCTGTTGGTTAATAAGTGACTTAGGTTCTTCAATTCCCAACGCTGATGATTAAGCAGTCGGGAATTCCCTGTTATCCTGACTGCTGACGCATCATTCCAGGCATCTCAGCATGCCAGGGGAGGGCTCGTGACATCATCCTGGAAGGTCAAGAAGACAACCACCTAAGCTAAGGAGAAGCAAACATTTAGACTCTTGCAAACTTGTGTTACTGCATGAATGACGTCATTTTGAAAACTGACAAACGTCTTAGGCAAATGAACTCAATACATTCTGGTAATCTTAACTCTCAAGCAGTGTTTAAGAAAACAGGAAAACTGCGTGATAATCTCACTAATACATGGTAAATAGATGCAGACAGGAGTTCTCTCTTGTTTGAGCCTCTCAATTAAACAAAAGAATAAATAAATTCGAATATTGGTGTCCTGGCTATTTCCCTTACAATCTAGCCCCCTGCTAATGCCCTGGGAAAGGCAGCAGACGGTGACTTAAGTGTTCGGGTTCCTGCCATCCACCTGAGAAATCTGGATGGAGCTCCTGGTGTCTGGCTTTGGCTTATTCAAGCCTTGGCTATTGTGGTCATCTGGGCAGTGAACATACTGCTTCCCACCTAAGAGCATCTAGACTGACTTCCAGCTTTGCCCCCAACTAAAGCCAATCCTGGGAGACAACAGTCATGGCGCAAGTGATGTTCTGCTGCTGAGAAGGGAGACATGGAGTAAGTTCCTGATTTCCAGCTTCAGCTTAGCCAAGCTGTAGGTGCTGCAGTCATTCTGGGAGTGAGCCAGTGGACAGGAACACTGTGTGTCTGTCTCTCCGTTCTCCTGCTTCTAACACAAAATCAAACTTGTGAAAAGCTCACAGGATGTATATCATGAGAAAAAATGGATAAATTTTTAAAATATTTTTGCACTGAAACGAAGTTATTTTTTAATTTTTCACAACCTTTTGAAGTACTCTTGTATATCAAAGCAGCATGACATACAATTTTTATTAAACAATTGTCAATTCTCAGAATAACTCATAATATTTTTAAAAAGGAAAATATGAGAACATCTGGATAATAAACACTGGACAGGGAAACAAGTGTAAGCCATGAACCAGCCTAGCAATCTATTTTTTTCTAAGCCTTGCTTTTCACCCTGTTAAAGTGAACAGAGCAGCCTGAATCAGGATCTCTAAAGGTACATGCCCACAAGGGTCAGCAGGCAGTGTAAAGGAGTGGGAGGAATTTAGGGAGTGCTAAGGACTGAGAAGAAATGGAATGCCCTTCCAAAGTGTGGCCACCATTTAGCTCCGGTGACACATGCCAGGTGAAAACCAGTAGCAATGCATACGTTTTTTGTTTGTCAATAAAATCTAAAAAATTGTTTTAATATAAAATATGAGCTTTCATAATATTTTTAATAACATACCATTTAAAAGCATTGTGTGAAACAAATGTAAATAAACAAGAACAAATAAAGACTAGCACTACCATCCATGGCTAAGAGCTAAACTATCCTACCGGTTATCGACTTGCTTTCTCTGGCCCAGTAGAAACTGCAGCTTTCCACTGTCGTCCAAAGTATGGGTTTCAGTCAGCTGGGTCCTTCTGATTCTCTAGAAGAGTTTCAAGGGGTTCCAACTATTTTCCTAAAGAGCTAGGCAGTAAATATTCTAGGATGGTAGGCCACACTTTACCTACCACCACATCAAGTCAGCCACTGTAGCACAAAGGCAGCTGCTGACATCCAGTAAACCAATGGGAATGGCTATGTTCCAATGAAAATGTATTTACAAAAACGTGTCTTGCCATAGGCCTTCCTGGCTTGCCAACTCTTCGTCTAAAGGATTTCCTAGAGAAGCGTAGGAATCCCTGTAACACTACATCCCTCACATTTTATCATACTGAGTTGTCCAAGAAACATTGCAGGAAGGAAATCTCATGAAGTTTGTTTAAAACAAATGCTCTGTTAACACTCTATAATGCTGGTGTTTTCTCACGAACACGCTGCTGGCCTGAGAGACCATGGACTTTCGTGCTTTTTCCTGGGCAAAAGTTAGCTTGCCTTGCTCTTCTTTGGTCCAAGTCACTTCTTCTAGACCTGCTTCTACTGAAAATCAGCCTAATTTACACTGGTAGGTGAGTTCTAACTCCAAGCTTTCTGAATTCAAAAACTAAGTAATATTCTATAAGAAATTTAACTTCCTTAGGACCTTTGATTTTTCTTTGGCAAATGAAAATAATTACAGCGCCCACATAATGAGACTCATGGGAGCAAGAAACGGATCTATATATGCAAAGTGTATTTTTCTCACATATTGGCATGCATTAGAATTTTAGTATCATCAATTATTAATATACCTAACCAAATTTTATTTGTGAGTTAAAACATCCCTCAAATATCATTCCACAAGAAGATAAATATTATAAAGTCCATGTTACAACTTTCTACTAAGGGTCAAAGCATATGGTGAAAAAGAGGCCTCCAAAGACAGATAATCACTCTGAGTACAAGAAGGGTACCAGTCTTCACTCTGCTTTGCATTATCCCACACCAAGCACAGACACACACGCACCTGACCTTCTCAGCATCTTTGCTAAGGGGGACTTCTCAGCTGTTCCTGAAGGTTAGTCTCAAGCTAAGCTTGGACTGAGAGAGCACTGCATGGAACGCCTTAGGATGCTCTACAGCCTCCTTCCGTAACAGGGTGCATGGACCAATGTGGGAAAGGGGGTACGCTTGTGGGCAACAGCCCAGGAACTTTGAAGAGGTGATCGTGAGTTTACATAATGAATCCCACTTTGCTACCTTTGATAAAACTTCCTCCCAAGTCATAAACAAGTTATTTTTCACCACCAGGCCTCTTCTTCCCTCCTTTACTCAGAGTCATCACTGTTAACTGAAACATATATTAACAGTGCCTCAGATTTAGTCACAGAACATCTAGAAATGATCACAAAATTTTTGTGCTTCAATCCATCATTTATTATAATAAGGACTTACAGAATAAAATTCTATACCTAGAGAATTCTCTATGTGGGTCTATTTCAATATCATTCTTTACACAGGATTATATCTCCTACATGTTTTGCATGTAGCTACCTCTGCCAGCACCACATTTAAAGTTTCTTGAAGAGTAACCGCAGAAGAGAGAGCAACAACTATAAACGCTCATTTTCAAGCAGATAAAGGAAGAAGTTCAAAGAGAAAACTGATAATCCCTAATGACCAAGATTTTCCAAGGCCTGACACAATAATCTAGTGGCTGAAATCTTTGCCTTACACATGCTGTGATCCCACATGGGCCCCAGTTCTAATTGCAGCAGCCCTGTTTCCCCTATAGCTCCCTGCTTGTGGCCTGAGAAAGCAGTCAAGGACAGCCCAAAGCCTTAAAACCCTACACCCGCAAGAAGCTCCTGGCTCCTGCCTTCAGATGAGCTCAGCTAGGGCCATTACTGCTACCTCGAGAATGAATCAGCAGATGGAAGATCTTCCTCTCTCTCTCCTCCTCTCTGTATATCTGACTTTCCAATAAAAAATAAATATTTAAAAAAATTTCCATAAAGTAGATGGGGTAATGTTCAACATTATTCTCAAAGATGATGGCTTTTTACTTAGGTAATATTATTGAAACAGCATTCCACAATGATAAATTTGTATGTTAATGCATCATTTCTGTGATTGAGACAAATAATATATATTAATTCCTTTTGTTTGAAACAAGGATTGACATTTTCATAAGATAAGTTCATGATCATTGTTTCTATATTACTACTACATTTGGGATATTTTATGACATATATAAAATTTTAAAGTGGTGAGTCAAAACTTTGAATAAGCATAGTTCATATTCAAATGTATACTAAGAAGGCCTCCGTACATAATACAGGCACAACGAGAATGTTATAATTTCGGTATGCACATACACATATATACAGATATATATGTATGTGTTTATGCATAATTTCTGTTAACAAATATATTAATAGGAACAATGCTGAAAAACAGAGTGACTTTGCCATGCCACAGACTTACCACAACTTAGGTTACTTTCAGCTTTCAGAGCCATGGTTGGGATATTCCAAAAGTCATTTTGCCAGTCGACCACATTTCCTTTCATAGTACAGCTGAGGTTGGAGAGGATTCTGGAATTCATACTGAAATTCCAAAGTCGAAAATTATAAATGTCCCCTTTCAGGGAGGCAATTTCATTTCTATTGGAGCCCAGTAACAACTTCCCATTTCCAGGAATAACTTTACTAATGGTAGAATCACACGGAACTGTGTCATAGTTTCTTTTGAAATTTACACCAATGGAGCCCAATGAATTATTCCAAATGATGCAGAGCTGCTCAAAGCTTTCTGTGAAAATATCTTCTTTCTCTTTGACATGTAGTGCACTGTTCAGTAAGCATTTGGAGCCAGAAACAGTCAGAAAGTAGTCACTTTTGGTCTTTCCAAAACTGAGTAATTGAGCAAAGGAAGCATCTGAGTAGGAGAAAGCTGCCCAGTCACTGTCTTCATTTCCAGCTTTGGTTGCTTCAAAGCAGAGTGTGAAGGCACTGAGCTCCGGAATGGAGATACTTTTCGCAACAGACACCTGGTAGGCATCTAGTGTCTGGGGTAAAATCACCTTTTGATTCTTTAAGGACACAGCAACTAGGATGAAAACACAAAAACAGAGAGAAACATATGATCTGTAGAACATTAACCACTGAGATGCAAAATATCTCATATGCTTCATCTTACTAATTGATTTTTTAGCCCCTCTATTTCCTCCTTTAGTTTTCTCTTTCTGTTTATCCCCAATCACTAAATCTTATCCAATTATATTGTACCAATAACAACACTAAGAAATTCACGCATTTTAGCTACAGCCATGATTGGATATTACATCGAAACATTTGAGTGATAACCAAGTTGAAAACTACTTTTTAAACTCTGATCTAGAGAATTAAAAATTAAGACACACAATTTGTTTACTTGAAAAAGAAAATCAGTAACTTTTCCCAAAAGGCTGAGTGTACACATACAGATTTTCAATTTTTCAAATAACTTCTGAACAAGTAGTTCCCTTTTAATAAACAGTTGCCTTTTATTCTTTATACTTATTCTTACTCTACCCTCGTCTTTTAGACATTGTATTTTCTTCCCATTTCCTGGGTATTTCAGGCAAAAAATGGAAAAAAAGAGTTCTACTGAACAAATGACTCTAGTGAAAAGCCTAACAAAAGTGAAATTTTTAAGCATTGCTCCTTTACGTCTAGGCAAATTTGCTAATTTTTGAGGAATAGGAAAGAGCATTTAGAAATGCTTTTTCTAGGGAGTAGTCACATGAACTTGGATGTGTTCCTTCACCTTTCCCTACCATGGTATCCTCAAGGGTAACAGAAAGCCTACTGGCACTCAAACACAAATGGGTAACGAGAATTCAGTACAGTCTGCACCAGGCAGAATGGTACTTGTATGATAGCAATAAACAGCAAGGGATTACCACTATAACATACACAAGAAACTAAAAACTAAAATACAGTAGACTAATAATTATGTGACATAACTAAAAAGTATAATAGGGGAACCCTATGTTAATACCACAGGCACTGTAAACCTCATTTGATAAAGTACTACCTCTCCTGAAAAAAATTATTTTTAATATCATATGAATGGCAGTTTGAATACATTTTTCTGAACACTTCTATTTTAAGACATCATTTTAATATAAATATTCTGATAAAACCCATGGTAGAATTGAAGGAAATTATGAATTCTAGCCTATGTTTAAAATATAAGGAAGCATTTATGTGTATTACATATGTAGGGATACTAACAAAACATGAATTCAATGTTCCCTATATATGTGAAAAGATAAAACATGGAATGAAATAAGCTCATTAGCCTAGTTAGTTGTTTTGGCTGCACATGGGAGACATGTAGGTAATTCTAATTTCTTTCTTTATTTCCAAATCTGTGCAATTTTTAAATGCGATTTAGAATTATTAAAGGATCTATGTTTTTACTTAGTCACATGTTTACCTAAGGTCAATCACAAACATTAAAAAAATTCACTAGAAAACATAATTTACAATAAGGAAGGCAAGTCATTTTCATAGTTTTATCTAAATTCAGGTCTAAAGCTTGACTGATTTTAGAGATAATGGAATAATTCGACGTTACAGTCTTCCAGAAACGGAAACACTGAATGACAGTATGTTTTATTTATTTATTTCTATCAGCCATAGTCCAGCAATGTTTTCATCAAACTAAGCTGCTTTTAGCCTAACTTATTAATAATTATTTTAAAATTTACACACTAATCTTGCTTGTTCCCTGGCATAGTTCCTTTAAAAAGCAACATCTTAAAATTCAAAATGAAGTCATTTCTAAATAGAGAGGTTTTAAATTTTCAGTAGACAGAAATCAGAATTATAGGTTTTAATTATTAGCAATGGAATATCTATGTGTCTTCCAAGCAGCTTTAAAAGATTCTATGTATAAACAGTATAAAAGATTCGAGCTCTACTGTAACCAGCTTTTGGATCTGGTCATTATAGTTTGCTAATGAGAATGCTCAGAGAACAGTAACAGATTCTTGCCCTTGAATCCTAACCCTAATCATTCATGTTCACATAAAAGAGCATAACTCTGTCTTCTGGTCTTTGTGTTTATTGTAGCACATGGTAAATGAAAGCAGAAGGTTGGCACAGCCTTTGGTTTACATACCTCGGATGTAGCTGGCATTGAAACCTTTCTTCTGGATGCTAAAGTCACTTGAAAAGGACACACGCATCTCATTCGCACTTGAGTTAAATGATAGGCCTTTGGCAGTTGCTCCACAAAATTTAGTCTGGCTCTCTCCATTATCAAGGGATAATGAGTCGTAAATGCAATTGGGAGCTTCTTCGATGTCAAAGTCATTAAAGGTTATCTGAATAATGTAGCCAGTGGGGGCTCGGAGGGTCCACAAGCAAGCTTGGCTATTAGGGTAGTCGTTAGGGTAACATGGAGAAGTGAAGGTCCCAGAAGGACTGGACAGGAGAACCCTGCAGTTGGCGCATCCCCATGCTGTTGGCCAAACAAGAGAGACAGAGAAGAGCTGGGATTAGATGTGCTTAATAAACCAACAATACCATTCACCAGGGGCAACCAAATAGTAAATACTTAAAAATATCAGAACACAATGATGAAAATTAAGAGGAAAATGAAGCCATCATAAGGAGAAAAAGAAATACCAATGATGTGCCAAATATTAAAAAAAAGAGAGAGCAATATATCTTAAACCTGGGAGGTCATATGGCCTGAGAATGGGAAGAGAATTGTGGGAGTTCTCCATCAAATGCACAAAGGACACACACATTGTATAAACTCATAGTTTTGACAACACTTTCACTTACCCCACCTGTTTATCAGAGTTGGAAAGTATATACTTTATGATCTTCTCATTTATTAATTCACTGAATGTTCACTGGGTACCAGTTCACTGTTAAGTATTGTTCCAAATAGTCCATACCAGTGAGCAAGACAGTCTTTGTGTGAAGGATTAGCACACTTCTATTTTGGATTTGAAGATTAACATAACATAGCCTAATAATAAGTAATAAAATATGGGAAAAAAAGCAAAGCAAAGAATAGAGAAATAATGACATAGTGAGATCCACCAGAAGTGAAGGAGTCTGGGAAGGGAACAGCAATACAGCAAGAATCAAGGCCAACACTAAAGGAAGACTGGTTTCGCTTTTACCTCTAAATGCCATGAGGTCAAGTGTCATATTTTCTTTGCTCATCACTTTATTCACAGTACGCAGGGTAAATTCACATCAAATACTAATTTGATGAATATGTGTAGCAGACAAAAGAAATTGAGTTATTCCATTTTTCACTAAAGCAGGCAGACTATTCCCAATTATTATTTACCAATGGCCTGACTGCCAGCTAGAAGCAGAAAGTAAGGTATACTATCTTCCCACAATAAATATCCAGATTATTTAAGAAATATTTATATACATTAAGACAGAATTATGGTTAATCCAACATTTTAAATTTAAAAACACCATAAAAACTTTACTTTCAAACAATAAAATACTTCATTGAAATTTCTACTACAATGCTTCAAATATATTTTTAGAAGTCACTGTAAGTTCAGTGTATTCCTCGCACTTTTACTGAATTGGACATTATGAGACTGCAGTAACCTTTTCTGAAAATGACAGTTACTGCAAATATTATTATTCTTATACAGTGACATGTTCAAGGGCTCATGCTGGATTTTCCTTCTGTCCTTACCCTATGGTCACCATGTACCACTGTTTGGCCTTACCAACTCCTCTCCACCCATTTTTCCTAATTTGCCTTCCTTCTGTCCCTGCCTCCTGAATGCTGACACCTTGTGAAGGGCTAAAGATGGACAACTCAGGGCCCGGCGCGGTGGCGCAAGTGGTTAAGTCCTCGCCTTGCACGCCCGGGATCCCATATGGGCGCCGGTTCTAATCCCGGCAGCCCCGCTTCCCTTCCAGCTCCCTGCCTGTGGCCCTGGAAAGCAGTTGAGGACGGCCCAAAGCTTTGGGACCCTGCGCCCGCGCGGGAGACCCGGAAGAGGCTCCTGGCTTCGGATCAGCATAGTATCGGCCGTTGCGGCTCACTTGGGGAGTGAATCATCGGACGGAAGATCTTCCTCTCTGTCTCTCCTCTCTGTATATCCGCCTTTCCAATAAAAAATAATAAAAATAAATCTTTAAAAAGATGGACAACTCAAAAACAAATTGGTGATCACCAAATGTCTGCAAAATGCTTTCCCTTTCACATCCCCGGAGTATTACTCTCCATTATGGCACTATTCACAGCAGTTACATTCTCCCCTCAGTAAAATTATTTGTTTACTTGTACTTTCTCCTACTAGCCAAAAATTCAATTAGTAAAGCATAGATATTGACCATATTGACCCTACTATTTCAAACATAGCAGATGTTTGCTAGAACATACAGATTTTATTTCTTTTTTTTTTTTTTTTTAAGATTTATCTACTTATTGGAAAGTCAGATATACAGAGAGGAAAATCTTCCAACCGATGATTCACTCCCCAAGTGAGCACAAAGGCCGATGCTATGCCAATCAGAAGCCAGGATCCAGGAATCTCCTCAGGGTCCCCCACATGGGTGCAGGGTCCCAAGGCTTTAGGCCGTCCTCGAATGCTTTCCCAGGCCACAGGCAGGGAGCTGGATGGGAAGTGGAGCTGCTGGGATTAGAACCGGCACCCATGTGGGATCCCAGAGCATTCAAGGCGAGGACTTTAGCCGCTAGGCCATGCTGCTGGGCCAAGATTTTCAATAGTTAAATTAATGGAGAAATGGATGCATGAATGAGTGTAAATTTGATTGAGATCCTCCCTAAATTAAAGCATGACTGAGTGTAGTACATGAATCCACAGCAAACAAATCCTAAGCCTGGAACAGTGTGTGGGTTCTGACCTGTCTTTCTACATGAGCCTTAGGGCTGTTTCTTGCAAACATTTCACTCATAACACAGAGGCTTCCCTGACATCTTAAATGTCTTCTTATTATTTGACTCAGACAGAAAAATAATGTTTATCAATTAATAACTGATTATTCAAAAATAGTCTCTGGAGATTTAAAATAGAGAAAAAAATAAGAAAACAACTTCAGTGTCATTCTAACATGTAGATAGCATCATTGTTCCAAAACGAGCTAATGCTTCCTAAATTCATAACCCAAGTAATGTCCATGACTTTATTTATCCTGATACACTATTTTTGTCCAATTCTTTCATAAGGTCTGAATGAAGAATAGTGGAAAATTATCTGGTCCATAACCTTGAATATTCCAGTCTTTACAGGTTAATCTCTATGCCCTGGTTTTACCATCTTCACACTGAGTAAAGCACCCACTTCCCAGGGATGTTCAGGAGACCACCTGAACGAATATCAATAACTTCCATAGACTACAGCTGGCTTATAAATAGCTAGGTAGGTGTAGGCACTCACCAATCATTCCGTTAACACCAACATTTTTGCATCATTAATTTAAAAGGGATAGGGCAGCACTGCTGAGAGTAGGATGTCTTTTCCCTTTAGGCATTTATTAGGTCAGAGAAAATACAATAAAGTTTCCATAACATGCATTAAAACACATACCACGGGGTCCGGCGTGATGGCACAGTGGTTAAGGTCCTCGCCTTGCACGCCCCAGGATCCCATATGGGCACCAGTTCTAATCCCGGCAGCCCCGCTTCCCATCCAGCTCCCTGCCTGTGGCCTGGGAAAGCAGTCAAGGACAGCACAAAGCTTTGGGACCCTGCACCCATGTAGGATACCCGGAAGAAGTTCCTGGATCCTGGCTTCTGATCGGCATAGCATAGGCCGTTGCGCTCACTTGGGGAGTGAATCATCGGACGAAAGATCTTCCTCACTGTCTCTCCTCTCTGTATATCCGCCTTCCCAATAAAAATAATAATAAATCTTTAAAAAAAAAAACACATACTACAAGTAAACCCTTATTCTTCCATAAGATTCAGCTACAGTAGCTACAGCAGCTAAGTAAATATCCTAACTGCATGAAGTGTCATATAAAATATGTATCATCATGCTCATCATATTTACAGACCACAGAAAAAGAAATATCTCTGTGTGCCAGTATTGCTGAAAACTTAATTTTGGAAAACTTTGTTTTATATCTTTGCCAAACCAATGGTTAAAAATGTTATTGCTAGAGTTTTAGTAATTTGTGACTTTAAAATTTATTATATAAGTGAAATGGTCATTTTTGCATTTGATTACCGTACACAGGTATTTTCTGTATTCCCACTAAACTAGATTATTTTTATTTATTTATTTTTTTTTAAATAATCTTAGTTTATTAGGGTACAAAGGGTCACGGGCTACAGGGTGAAAGTGGGTAATATCATTGTTTCCACACTAATATAATCATTTTGCCCTGTATCTAGGGTTAGGGGAGTAACAAAGGGGAAAGCCCCACCCTACCTCCCACCCATCCCCCATCCCCAACATGAGGCGCGCTCCAAGGGTCCTGCTCATACAGTTTTGATAGTTCATCAGTTCTGGATTGCTGCCAATCTCTCCGTCCCAACCGTAATGAAACCTATTCAGAGTCCACTGGCTGACAGTCTCTTGATGGTTGGGGTTCCAAGATCAGCAGTTCAGTTCGAGAAATATCCAAAGAAACTTCATCTGAGTTGATCCCAGATCTGATTCTTGAGTGAGTTTGCTAGTACAGACTCCAACACTGTGCGTCACACCAATCAGCTTATGCATATGCTGGTCGTTGCGATTACTGGGTCCCGTTCGGCTTCCAGCCCTGTCTTCCTTGTGAACCAATGGGTGTTGTAGTCCAGCTCGATTCTACCCACTTCATACTCGGTCTTCATGCAAACCAGTTGGAGCTGCAGCCTAGTTGAGGCGACTCCCCAAAACCCCTACCAGTTCTGCCCCCTACCCTAGTTCCCATGCTTGCCAGTATGCACTGCAGGCTTGTCCAGTCTGTCCCACATCCCAATTAGCTCTCGCACACGTCAATGGACATTGAAGCCTGGTTCAACCCAACCAACCTATTATCCAGCCCATACACCCACTGGCAGGTGCCTTTCTGTCAAGCTACCCCTGCCCCTAGCCTGGGTTTCGTGCTGTCCAGTGAGGGTGGTAACCCTGAGGGAGGTGCCCACTATTTCCCTATTAGGCCACACCCACTCCCAGAGTATGCAGTCTCCAGGTGGTTTTGGCATTTGGCTTGACAGAATTAGCTCCTAATACCAGCCTCTGCCAGCTAACGCTGTGGCTAAGCCCAAACACCCCTCAACCCACTCTAATTTTAACTCGCACCAGTCAGAACAGTCAGCTCACCGTGAGGCCCACAGGTGCTATAGCCCTGCCTAGTCTGAACTGCCCCCATCCGTATTCACACTTTCCAATGGAAGTAGTTATCCTGCAGGAGTGCCCACATTCCCCTGTTGGCTTTGCCTCCTCCCTGATTGTCACATGTGCTGTTTGTGTGCTGCAGCCACATCTGGTATGGCTCATCTCACCTTGGCATTACTTG